GTGGACCTGCTTACTTTAAGCTAACTTTGGGCTAGCCTGCTAACTCTTCACATCTTTTTTTTTTTCAGCTTGTCTCTAGTGCCATCTGCTGGAGGGAAAAAAAAAAGTACTTTAAGGCTCTCTCTTTTTTCCGGACGCAGATCGCCGAGGTCCTGTTCCCCACCGCGGACTACGTGACCGTGGAGCTCAACCGGATCCAGTGTCTGGAGGCCCGGGAGGTGATCGTGAGGACGCTGTCCACGCAGGGAGACTCCCAGGACTCGCCCTCGGCCGCCATCCCGCACCACCTGCTGGGCTCGCCGCGCCTCTCCCACAGAACCCCCGCCAACGCCAACGCCCTCATGTCCCACCCTCCTTACCCCTCCACGTACCCCCCCAACCACCCGCAGCCCCAGATGCAGACCGGGCCCCAAGTCCAGGTCCACAGTCTACCGCACTCGCAGCGACACTCGCAGCCCGTCGTCGTACACGTTCACCCTCCTCCTCCTCCGCCTCCTCCTCCTCCTCCTCCTCCGCAGCAACCGCCGCAGCCTCACTTCCAGCGCCATCTACCCAAAACCAAGCAGTTCGCAAGTGCCAGAGAGCTGGAAACCAGGGAGCACGAGGGAGCCAAGCCCTGGGAGCGCGCCCCGTCGCCGCTGCCCCCCATGTGCGGGTCCAACCTGGAGCCGCCGCCGCCGCCGCACTTCCAGGCGCGGCGGTCGCCCTCACCTAAGAGGATCCTGCCGCAGCCTCAGGGAGTCCCCATCCCCAACACCATCGCCAAGGCCATGGCCAGGGAAGCTGCCCAGAGGGCGTTCGGCGAGGCTAACCGGGTAAGTTGGCTATTACGGGACGTCGCGCGGATAACGATACGATTTAGTTAAGTTTCTTTGTTCACGATATGATTTTTTTTTTTTTTTTTTTTTTTTAATCATGATTTATTTTGAAAACAAATTAGAACTACACGACATAGATATGAACTGGAAGTCATAGCGGGTCACAACACTGCCCCCTACTGTACTGGAGTGTGTAGTGTCCTGGTCTGACCACTGACTTTTTGAGATACTTCCTTCCACCGAGAATTGTCACAGATTCTAAATTTAGCATGCTAGGCTAAAGTTAGCATGCTAGGCTAACTTTAGCCTAGCATGCTAACTTTAGCAAAAGAGAAAATGAATGAATGCTAACTTTAGCCTAGTATGTAGGCGTGACTGTTGATTTCATTTAGTTTTGGGGTTTGTTTTTTTTTTATAAAAAGAGGAAAATGAATTGATGCTAACTTTAGCCTAGCATGCTAACTTTAGCAAAAGAGGAAATTAATGAATGCTAACTTTAGCAAAAGAGAAAATTAATGAATGCTAACTTTAGCCTAAAGTTAGCAGGCTAGCCTAAAGTTAGCATGCTAGGCTAAAGTTAGCCTAGCATGCTAACTTTAGCAAAAGAGAAAATTAATGAATGCTAACTTTAGCCTAAAGTTAGCAGGCTAGCCTAAAGTTAGCATGCTAGGCTAAAGTTAGCCTAGCATGCTAACTTTAGCAAAAGAGGAAAATGAACGAACGCTACATCTAACGTTGCGTCGTCGTCCGACAGACAGAACGACAAGATGGTGTTGTTTTGTTTTTTTTTCCATTTCATTCGTCGCTAAGATTTGTCGACTCTTAATCAGGCGGAGAAGAGAAACATTTTCAGCCAACGAGGGAACGCGCTGCACCCGCCCAACTCCGACGACGAGGAGGAGGAGGAGGACGACAGCTACGACTCATCGCGCGCGGGAAGGAAAGGCACCTCCGTGGACGACTTCCTCCGAGGTTCGGAGCTGAGCAGACAGGTAATGAGGACCCCCCCCCCCCACACCCCGGCGGCAACGACTTTACCTTCAGACCAAAAGATCCGTCGGAAAATAAAGCTAACAAACAGAGCACCTAGCATGCTAGTTAAAAAAAAATCGCTAAAATCAATGAAGTTGAAAGATAAGGATTTTTTTGGATATTTTTCCGTCCCGTCTTCCTCAGCACCATCACCCCCACCTTCAACACCCCCAGCACTACGCCCCCTACAGCCAGAGCGAGGAGTACTACACGGAGAGCAGCCGGGGCTCGGACCTGTCCGACATCATGGAGGAGGACGAGGAGGACCTCTACGCCGAGATGCAGCTGGAGGAAGGTCGCAGACGCAGCGTCAACTCGCACAGCGCGCTAAAGGTAACGGTATACGCACGTGTACGCCTTGACCGGGGGAGGGGGAGGAGGAGGGTGGAGACCCCCGTGACCTTTCTCCAACTCGTGATGTCATCGATGACCAGGACGGACGACTTTTCTTTTTTTTTTTTTTTTTTTTTTTTTTTTTAAAAAAAAAAAAAAAACCCGCGGTTCGGACACGAAAAAAAAAAAAAGTGATCAAATCTGTCGCTGCTCTTTCGTCAGGAAGTCACGTGGGAATCTCGTTTAAGTGAGTACTTAAATGACAACGTTCACTTTTTTTTTTTTTTTTTTTCCTTTGTGTCGTCCGTCCGTCCAGGGGTTGAGGGTTCAACTCCTCGGAACGTCAGTTCCTCCGTTTCTTCCTTTGGTCGCCGCCATCTTTTTTTTTATTTACGTTTTACGTTTTTTTCCTCCTCTTACCGCGAGTAAGAAATGGACGGAGCAAAAAAATTTTTTTTTTTTTTTTTCGGGTCTACGTTTAAAGGTCAATTCCCAAGAAATGATTGCGATCTTTGTTGTTTTTTTTTTTTTTTTTTTTTTTGATTGGTTCCTTGATTCTTTTTCTTCCCGGCGACAGCAAACCTCATCCCTTTTCCAGTTTTTTTTCCTTCCATTTTCCCAGACTTTACGAATTCCCGTTGAGCGCATGTCACATCCCGCCCCCCCCCCCCCCCCCCGCGGACGCGACATGCATGTCTTCCGACATTGCCGCAAATAACTAACTCTCTCCTTATTTCTGTCTTTCCTCCCCGTTTGTTTGTTTTTTTTTTTTTTTGCGAACTTGAACTAAACCCAACCGTTAAAATTGTGGGATCGCGTTCCCGCCCGAAAAAAAAAAAAAGGCTTATTACAAACGTCAAGACCTAGCCGAGGACAGGGACAGCTGGGACCTCCAGAGAGAAGTGGTGAAGCAGCGGTCGCTCGGCGCCGAGCGTCTCCACAGCATCCCCGAGGTGGAGGAGGAGTCCGACGGCGTCAACGGCGCCGGTCACCAGCACCCGTCCTTCCAGGACGGCAGGCGTCCGGGGACGCCGCACGCCCAGAGGAGGAAGCACCCGGGAGACGACCGCGGCGGAGGCCAAGGCTCCGGGAAGACCTGCCACCTGAGGCGCCAGCGCTCCACGCCTCGCTTCGCCGATTACCGCTACTACTACGCCGCCGATCACGATCTGGGCCGCCCCAACCGCCAGAACACCAAGAGTCCGGACAGCGGGTTAGACTGCGGTAGCGAAGAGGAGGGCTCTCTGGGCTACTACGCCCACGGGAGCGCCGCGCAGGGACACGTGCGCGTCATCCACTGCGAGGGCCCGGTAGAGCGGCGAGCGCTCGCCATGGGCCGCAGGAGAACGCTGACCCGGCAGTGCAGCGTGGAGGAAGAGTTCTCCGACGACTTGGCGGCGGCGGCGGCTAAGTCGGAACGCACGGGCGACTTTAGGATCAGGCGGCACCTCGCGCCGCCGCCACAGGGCTACCGCAGGGACGCGGCGCGGAGCGAAGGCCGACTGAACGAGCCGGAGCCGGCCTATCACGGCCCGTCCAGGGAGGCTAAGGCCCAGTCAATGTCCAGGCTGGACCGGGACCAGCAACTGGTGTGTGACCCCGCCCCCTCTCTCTCTCTGCCGTCTTAGCCAATCACCACCCTCGCTCCACCTCCACCCTCTTTTTTTTTTCCTCTCTTTTCTGAATGTTTCAAGTTGTGCTTCTTACCTCTTGATTTTAGCCTTTTTTTCGTTTTTTTTTTTTTTTTCTTCCCACTCATCACATGACGCGGTTGCTCGTTCCTTATTTGACGTTTGAAATTTTTTAAAAAATTTTTTTTTTATTGCTTGTTTCTAGAACGTCTTACCTAAAGGCCATTTAACCCACGTTTTTGACTTTTTTTTTTTGACTCATGGATCCGAGAGGGAGACACGTTCGTCTGTGCCGTGCCGTCATCCGTCTCCCCCCCCCCCCTCCACTCACCCC